AATATTTATTATTATTATTATTATTATTTTATTCAAATATTGTCTAATTGTGTCTTATTTACTATTAAACGTTTTCAAACTAAACTTGCTTACACTGCCGTCTTAAATCATATTTCTATCACTGACGAAAAATATGTTCTTACATTAAAATAGAAAAATTTAATTAGCCTATTCTATTTATGTTTGTATGTGAACTCGAAATCAACCCCAACTTGCTAACCAAAGATCACATGATCACTAACGGAAATCACATTGTGTGTGTGTATATATATATATATATATATATATATATATATATGTGATTTATTATTATTATTATTATTATTAGGGCTTCATGTTAATGTTAATTTAATGTTTATGCTAAAAAAAAGTGCATATAGCTGCTAATTGTATTTGTTGATTTTCAAATATAAAACTTATTTTCAACGTTTTCATCTAATTTTAGCAAAACCGTGATAATATTGATAACTTTGGTCACTATAACCGTGATATGAAATTTTCATACCGTTACATCCCTATCCCAAATGTACATAAATGATAACAAAAACTATTAAGAAACATGATTATATAAACAAAATGCTTTCAAATGCGGAGCATCATGCAGGGAATTCTGGGAATATCAGTTTACAGTTTTTGACTGTAATTTATAGTTGATTTGTTTACTTCTAAAAACTGTACAATTAACAGCATTTTACTGTAAAATTACATTAAATATCTGTGGTTAGATCTTTTAGTTTTTCCCTGTATACAGTACAGGAACATACCGTTAACCTATAAAACAGTTTTTTTTCTCCTTAGTGTAACAATAACAATATTTTACAGTTAAATTTATACTCATTGGTAAAATGTTACCAGTTAAGCTCTATAAAAACAGGTAGTATCTGTAATACATAGCAATCACCAGAGAAAATAATTTCCATTATTATTTCAAGTAATTGTCATTTAATATAGTAATTAATGTTAACATTTCTTCTTTTAAACACTCCTGGCCTGGTTTACTTCCATTGTACAGTAATTGCACTACTGTAAGCTTTTTTCCAATTTACAGAATTAGGCTATTTTCTGTGGTAATCAACACCGTCACAAACGCCATTAATAGAGGGCAACATGTAATTGAAAATTCAGGACTTTACTGTAAGATACATACCAATCAGGTATTTAAAAATGAGTGTGTCAGCAGATTGGTCTTCACCTTTCCCCACTTTCTACATGTCAGTTCATTTCAGTGTGTCACTTTCCCAGTCTCCCATTAATAATCATTTATCCTCATTTGGAAAGCTGGTTCTACTCATTGGGCGGGTGGCCCTTGAGAATCGGTGGTTAACAAATTTTGCATATTTCATGTTCAAGAACAAGGTGGCATTAATACAAAACTGACAAGTTTAGTGTATCAGCCATCAAATCCTAGGAAACGCATTCATCCGTTCCGCCACTGACGGAAGGTTAAAGTGCCCCCTCAGGCAAAAGATTAGCCAAGGACACTACTGTATTTCGATCCAATAAATGCAGCCTTGGTGAGCGCAAGAGACTTCTTTTAAAGAATTTAATAATTTACACGTCATGCTTTGTGGGTGAAAAAGGAATAATTTAAGCCACCTCATAACGTCTTCGTAAGTAAAAAATATACCTCAGCTATGTGGAATAACTGATGACACAAGCAAAAATTCTGTGCCTATCCTCAATAAGGTCAGACACTGACACTGCTGCACTGTCACAGTGTCTTCTGCCTTTCCATAGCCTACAGGCCTGCAGATTAGTGCAGTCACTTAGTCGAAGAAGAAGCTATTGAATGCGGGAAAGAGGGAAAAAAACTGAAAGAAATGGGCAGGAGATGAGAGAACACCTTAAGAATATAAACCATCCATCAGGGCTGCAAAATATTTACAACTGATGACTAGCAAGCACATGATACACTCGGTGTCCCCATAATGTCTCGATCACAAATGATTCTTGAACTTGATCTGTCAAATATCTCAGGCTAAATATATACAAAGGAGCATAACAACTGAGTATAAGCCTGTAAGTTTTGTTTTGTTTTTTGAGAGAGAGAGAGTTATGAAACTTAGGATGCAGTTTCTCTACATGGCATAAAATAGGATTTCTTTTACTTGTTTCCAGTAAATTATTCCACCACCTTAAAACAAGATATATTTATAAGCAACGCTGCATGTGACTTTTTTCAATATAATTCAAGATTTCTGTGAATTCTGCTTCAAGTAAATTCATATTGTTTAAAAGATGTTTACATGTTGTTATGGCTAAGTAAGACAAAAATACTGATTATGAAAATGATTTTTTGCAGTGTAGACAAGGCTAAATGATAGATTAAGATTAATAAAATCTTGAGTGTACTTTGTTTTGTTCCATTGGCAGACTTTCCATTTGGTTAAACATAAAGCTTGCTAAATGCATTACATATTAATAAATAAAATTGTACGTTATTTTCTAAAAGCCATTTTGGCAGAGTATATCTGAAAAATTATGACTACAGTGGAAGTAATTGTTCTTTAGAGGACTGATGAGGAGAAAAGTACAAAAATGTGTGTATTGCTGGGCTTATATTATTTACTTGAGTTGTAGCAAATGTGAAAAATAAATTAATTGTACGAAGAATAGAGATTATAAAAAGACGGAAAAAAAATACAGTGCAAGTACAAGACAACTGCTAAATTCTAAAGTAGTACAGAGCTGACTGTGTTAAAAGTCACAAGAAAATATCAGTTTTAAAGAAAAGACTTCCATTAAAACGAATGATTTATGTCCCTCGTTTAATATTTATAGAAAATAACCACAAACCCATCATTACCTACAGCAACAATGCCTGTTCAGTTAGTAGCATTTCGTACGCTTCCCTCTGTAGGGATTATTAGGGTACTTTAGAAAGGTTCAATGAATTTCCAATGACAGACCTAACCAGGAACAAGCACCAATCTGTTTCAGCACTGCTCAGTGACCTCAGACATCGAAGCGGAGGCAAGACAGAAAGGCAAACGTTACAAACTACACTGCAGCTAGCTAATGGCGCAGCGCCCCTTTCAATTACCTGCTCAGTCTCCTTGGCCACCACTGTGCCGATTACAGCACACAACAAAAGCCATTTCCTCTGAATACGCAAGGCAGGACCTTACACTATAAAAGCACAAATGTAATGCTTATAAATCTAACCATCACGAGTAGTGAGCACCCTAATGAATCCCTAGCTCTTTCTAATAAAACTGATTTAGAGTTACATATAAAGTAGCCAAAATACAGAACGAGTCGACCTCCAGACAGTTCAGAGAAACACAAGAGAACTCAGAGAGTTGCATCATCAGAAAGATGAAGCACAGGTGCCAAAGAACACTGAAAAAATAATATTACTGTCAGAGATGATGCATAGTAGTCCACATGACACATTACTCCAGAGTTTGAGTCTGGCTTGGGACATTTACAGATCCTACGCCTCATATTTTGTCTTATCTTTCTCCACTTCTACCTATACCATTAAAAGTCTCACTAAGTATTTAAATTAATTAAAAAAAAATAAAAAATAAAAAATCCTCAAACAGCATCTTTGCCTATATAAAAACAATAAAGTTTATATCAAATTTCATAAAATATTAAGAGAAATTAACATCAAACAAACTAAAACCATAAAAAGTTCCTAAAAGAAATGTTAACCTTAACATTAATTATTAAAAACTTATCTTATTTTTTATTGTACTTCAGCTAGTTGACAAAGGAAATATCTAATTTTCATTTAGTTTAACTTAATGTACTAGACATAAATGTAATAAAAATTACAACAAAATTACTAAAACTTTAACTAAAATTAAAATAAAAATCAAATATTAAAAATATTATAATAGTATCCCAATTATACTAAAACAACACTGAGAGAAATATTACGGTATCTATAACTGTCTAATTCCATTGACCGGTTTTAATTATTTATCTTATAAAATTTACTGAAGAAACAAGTAAACCCCAATTAAATCATGCAAAGTAATATTATATGTAAGGTACACAACTAAATTCATATACAGTTTGGCTAAGGTATTTTATCTTGTTTAAAGGATGTTTATACTGTAAAACAAAAACAAAATACTGCTGAAGTATTGTACAAATGTCACATGTACAAGAGGCATTATGATGAGGAATATGGAGTGTTAATATTTCAGCCTGCTTGAGCCTGATATCTGATCAGAGCTACTGACTGTATCATGGGAAGTCGTTTTGATGCTCTGCTTGGTGCCATTGTTCATTGTTATTGTTCTGCTTTTGCTGACTATCTCTGCATGACAGCTCTGGCCCAGCATCTGGAATTGTGCCTTGATTGTCAGCCAAAAAGTATATTACTGGCACAACATGCCATTTTGAATCTTCTGAATAGTGCCATTGATTGGTAAGACCGAAATAAATTGTTGTCTTTTGTCACTTTTATTATATTCAAAACACAGTTTACCCAAAAAATGAACCCAAGACTCTTTACAGAGGTGCCAAGAGTGACTGATTTTGCTTACCCGCTCCAGGAGTTGCCTCGTCTTCTTTGTAGTGCTCATCGTGCCACTGCATGGTTAGATGGTAACTGAGCATCACCTCCCACAAGGCCTTGCAGAGGTCAGTCAAGCAGGGGATGTAGCTGTCTGTGGTTATGTGCTGGGGTGAGAACGATAAAAGAAAAGAGCTGCATTCTCACTGTTTTGATTTACACAAGCCCCTTCAGTTTCAACAACAACAGAACAACAATTGATTTCAAAAAGTAGTGTCAACAAAGATATACAGGAAATTATGGTATGTGACACTGAAGGATCATGTGACACTGAAGACTGGAGTAATGGCTGCTGAAAATTCAACTTTGCCATCACAGGAATAAATTACATTTTAAAATATATTAAAATAGAACACAGTTGTTTAAAATTGTAAAAATATTTCATAATATTACTGTTTTTACTCCAATAACAATATATACATATACATATACTAAAATAAGTAAATCCTGATTCCCTCAATCTGTGTGCATTGAAATGGACAGTACAAGCAGAACTGATCCCAAAAATGAACTGGACATAGAATTATTATTTTTTTTTACAATCTCAATACTTTGTAAAGGTCCATAGATGCCCTCAAAATTCAAATCGGAGAAAAAAGACACACTAAAGATCTGGCGAGGAACCCAGTTTAGCGTGACATTATGTGTCTCAGATGTGTGTGTATCTTTAAATCTAGCTGAAGAGACATTTGGAAAACAGTAAATCTGACATTGAGGGAGCATGAATACACCAGAGATAACGATTGACCTGCTGTGGACCTTAATGAATATTTACCATGCGATCAATCCTTCAAAACCTCTGAGAATCTCTAGCATTCCTTGGAACGCTATAATTAGAAATAATACCATAGAGACAACAAAACAAGCTCCTGTCTGGGATGAAAGATCTGTATATCAAATCGGGGGGTGGGCTGTGTACAAAGTAAAATACAGTCTGAATCAACTTTGACTTTGGTGACACCGGCGTTCTCAGAGGAGCTGACATACTTCCTTTGGTCAGTGCGATTTGTGGCCGGGGAAAGCTGACATAAACTTTGCCGTGTCTAGAACCGCTGCATTGCCGACTCATCCATACACATATTCATCAATGCTGTCAGCAGTGAGATGCTGGAGCTCGATCACTGCCTTTTCTTCTTAACCAAGCTTGGAAGCTCTGCAAACTGCTGGAGCCTGGTTAATTACGATCGGCCTGAGGCTCGTCGAGGCTGTTTTTGAAGGCAAGGGAACGGCACATAGCAACATGGCTTCCAGCTGTGGAAAAGCTAACAGTTTTTGTGCTTTAGTTACAATTTATGTATTATCGTCATCACTTTTTTTACTACCGAACCAGTGTTGCTGCAAGGCTTATTTGTAAGTTTACCAATGGACTCTGTAAATTAGGCTCCACAATAGAAGCCTTTCAGCTTCTGATTGTCTATTGCCAAACATTTACCTAATCAACTTTACTAAAGCTTTACCAAGGATACGATTGAGGTCACTGCGTAGGAACTTTAAATATGTTAACAACATTTACATAGCTGATGGCATAAAATTCAACTTTAGTGCGGGAAACTATTAAATTGAATTGTCCACTAAATCTTGAGACATAGGAAAACAAAAATGTAGCACAACTTTACCTGCCAACTTTACCTTAGTTAATAGCAGTATTTCCGATTTGAAATTCAATACCTGTGCTAACGTAAATACACTACCACTCAAAGGTTTGCAGTCAGGAAAAGTTTTTTTTAATGTTTTTAAAAGATGTCTCTTATGCTTACAATGCTGCATTTCTTGGATCAAAAACACAGTAAAGACAGTAATACTGTGAAATATTATTACCAATTAAATAATGGTTTCTATTTAAATCGTTTTTAAAATGATCAAAAATAATCAAAGCTCAATTTGCAGCAGTCATTACTCCAGTCTTCAGTTTCACATGATTCTTCAGAAATCATTCTAATATGGTGCTCAACAAACTATTCTCAATGTTGAAAACTGATAAATATTTTTGTGGAAATTGCGATGCATTTTTCAGCATTTGATAAATAGAAATTTAACAGTTGAACAGTGAAAAGTATTTATTTCTTTTAAAACAATATCAGTTCAAACTAAATTATGAAAAAGTTATTAAATTATTATTAATCGAAGTGGATAATAGGTTCATAAATATACAAACTGTTTCATCACAGTAGTTTTGTATCTGACAAAGATGAGTAATAGGCAAGGAAAATCACACATTCTTGAGAAAACGGAAGCTCCCAAACATAAATGAACACTTCTGAACACTTTGACCACATTCATTAAATTGAATTCCTTGATCCATAAACTTGTTTCAGCTCTGTTTTGACCCAGTACTCAAGAACCAGTGTCCAAAAAAAAACATCAGTTGTTTCCCTCTGTTTTAAGAGACATTTAGTCAAGGCTACAACTTAAAATCACACTCGTTGCACAAATTGAGACTTTAACAAACAATCAAATGAATAAAACACTCATTCACCTTTTGTATTCACATACTGAGACACAATGCGACCTGATCCGAGTGGCTGCAATAAATCTAATTAGGCCTGTGCTGCATACAGAAAAAGCTTTGGGCATTTAGAGGTGATTCATCACTTACGGTAATTCTGCAGTAACAGATAAACAAGCTCATATGAAACCATCCCACACAACTCATTACACTAGAGCGGCTCCGACTAATGCAATGAACTGTGGCTCAAGTATTACACCGAAGGAAATGCGTAACACATTGCCAAAGCTGCCAAAATGTAATACTCAAGGCCGAAAGCAAGAATTATATGAGCCATTCGTCTCATTTGAAGTTGATTAATTGTTTTGGACAGCTTCATCCCTTCTTTGAATAAAGTTGTATGGCTGCCATCATTGAGCGTAAGGGGATGCTCAGCTGGATTAACACTGATCCAGTGGTTACTACACAGGAAGTATAGTATACTAATTGATGTCTAATGACTCCTGTAGGTAAGCAGAGGGAGAAGTCAGCCATCTCATTCAAACAATCAATCCCTCAACCTCTCCAGATGACTTCTTGCTATTGGGATCGAGGCATTGTTGCCTGGCAACTGAGCGTTGGTGGAGAGAAAGGAGGATAAATGTCTTTCTAATCTCAAAGGAGTCTTATTAGACAGACAGATGGACATTTATAGCTGATATTTTGATAAGAACGTTTCACGCTCTGTATGGGATTCAGGCAGGTGCACAGAAACCGATTCAGGTCAGTGACTTCATCCAATGGCGAGGTGGGAATTGCATCCGAAAACATGAGAAAGTTCTTTCATGTACTCTTGATTTTTTCCTCCCTATAGTCTCAAAGACGTCACTGGGGTTGTTTCAGTGCTCATCGCTATTTGCTCAGATAAAAAAATGTGGAGACCTGGGTGACAGAGGTGACCACCTTCCTAAATACAACCAAATTGTACCCATTGTCAAATATGACTGTAGTAAATATCTTAAAAGTAAAGAAGAATGAAAACAAAGTGAGAGGGAATGTTCTGCTGCCATCAGCAGGCTGTAAACATGTGAAGTCAGCAAATCTCTTTGGCTTCTTCTCTATCATAACCAAGCTCAAGAAGTCACACCACAGATGGCAGAGCTGGAGAGGCTCAGCCAGGGTCAAGGGTTTTCTAGTTCCTCAGGAACAGGATGTTAGGATCACATACTATTTGTAATATTAGGCTACTTTTTTTTTAGACATGTGTTTTTCTCTTTTTTGCCGTTACATTTATCGCTGGTCCTTTATTACATACACCCACACATTTTTCAGAGCTACATCTCAAATGGCTTAAAATCCTTTAAAGTTTTATAAGGAAGAGCAACAACCAATTATATTTACATGCATCAATATAATATTACATGTGATGCAAATGTCAAAATGTATTATTTTGCATTATGCATTATGGTAGAAGTATTTTTAGGTCATAACATAGTACTGTGCAAGGAACTCCATGAAAATGTCATTATTTTTCAAAAATTTGCCCCTGTAATTATAATGTGTGTGAAAGGAAATATAAGCTGTTGGTCAAGTTAAGTCATGCATTTCCAACACTGTAAAAATGTTGTTTTTTTTTAAGTTAAAAAAATGAGCTGCTGCTCCCCGCCCCCTTTTCCAGAATAGGGCTGTGCCTTTACAGCTCCTTCCTCAGCATATTCTGCCAAAAAACATTTGTTTAGTTTTGATTATCATGTCTATTGCACTGAAATCATGCGTTTTAAAGCCATCAGTTTAAACTTCTGATAGACGGTTTTCTGAGCGCAGAGAAGTTTATGTTAAAAACACACATGATTTAGAAAACTCATGTTTTAAACTTGTGTTCCTGTTCAAGTCTTGTAGGGCTTATTATTATAATAGGGTATTGGGATCCAGAAGGACAGAGTGGTTAGTGGAAGTCGAGCCTATGTGCTCAGGTAATTTAATTGTCAAGGTGGGTGGGGGGTGGGGGTCGGTCTCTCTTTTTATTCTTCTTTTTTTTTTATTCTTCTTTTTTTTTTCTTCCCTTTCTCTTTTTTATTTTCCTTTTTCTTTCATCAGTCCCTTTCTTCTACCTGGTTCCAAGATGCTTCTTGCCAGTTCAGTGCCATACAGTCTTTTTAAGCCTTCAGAATGGTTAATTCTGTTGTGTCAGGGGTTGGGAGTCTGCGTCTAGTAACTTGGAACACCAAGGGAGTGAACAATGCTATCAAAGCTAGTAAAATCTTAGCACATTTACGGGATCTTAATGCAGACATTATGTTTCTACAAGAAACTCACCTGCGAACATCAGATATACTTCGTATTAAGAGAGCATGGATGGGTCACCTGTTTCATTCTAAATTCTCTCAGAGGGCTCGTGGGGCCGCTATCATCATTCATAAAAGAGTTTTGTTTGAACCAGCTGAGACCATTATAGACTCAAATGGTCGTTTTGTCATGGTCTCAGGCAAGCTCTGCAATACTCCAGTAGTCTTGGCTTCCATATATGCCCCCAACTGGGACAATGATGAGTTTTTTGTCAAGTTTTTTTCAAGTCTACCAAAAGTAGATGAACACTATATTATCATTGGAGGAGATTTTAACCTGGTCCAAGATGTTTCCCTCGACAGGTCTTCCCCCAACCAGTCTACTCTTTCTAAGTCA